ATATCATATGCCCGATCAACAGCACGCATACGTCAATTGAATGAGCACGCATGAACAACGACACGACACGCATACGATCTACTGCGATGCCTTAATATCACTTCGACGAATGCGACGATCTTGCTCACCTCCGGAGAGGATTCGATAGTGTTCTGTATGCTTCTCCAACACGTTGGAAGACTTTTACCGCCCTCTCAGTGTAGTTGTAGCCATATGGTGCGTTACCGCACTTATCAGGGTGAGTGCGAAGCGCGAGCCATCTATAGGCCTCCTGAATGCCACTATACTACACGCTGAGAATGCTTTCCACTTGGAAAGGGAGAAATGATGGTTCCAAGACTCCACTCAGATGACTGATGACGATCCGTGTAAAGGGATCATGCTCAGAAACCCGAATAAGTTCTTCCTTTAAGAAAGAGGGGTTCAATTGTTCACCCAGATATGAGTTATGACGCTGTTCTCTCAGAAGTATTCAAGTGTTTACTCTGCTTTTCCCAGGGTTCTCTCAGAAATAAGAAGTGTTCATTGGGAGTTGTTTAACGAGTCTCGTATTACGGACTTACCTCAATTGAACACTTTTCATATTTTCCCAGATTTTCATATTTTTCCTTTTTCACTTTTCATTTTTTTCTTTTCAATTTTGTTGGTATGAGATGGAACCAAGACGACTGTTTTTCACCTTTGATAATACTACAAGGTTCGATGATCTACGTGCTGAAGTATTCACTCTGATACGAGTTCTGATGCTTTTTCGAAGGTTCTCTCAGCAAAGAAGAAATGTTCAATTATTCACTCTGACGAGACGGACACTTTCGATGGTTCTCTCAAAAAAAAGAAATGTTCAAGTGTTGTCGAATGTGTGTATGTGAGAGTTTCCACCCTAGTGATATGAAAAACACTAGTGAAAAACACATTTGACGACTACTACATAACGCGAATATCGCGTTTTTCACCGAGTTTCACGCCACTTCACGTAAAACGGGTCGTGAAACTCCAATATGTAGTAGAAAATTGTGAAAAGAAAAAATTGGAGAATATTTTGTGTCAAAAATGTGAAATATAAGGGAAATTATGGGAAAAAATAATGGGAAATGAATGAAATAAGAGATTATTTGATGTATTCATGCAGCTGAAATTTAAAGAAACATATGAGAATATTCAGTGGAAAATAGTGGAAAATCATAAAATGTTTAGTGTAAAAATATCGGATATAAGACATGTGTAGGAGAGTGTCTAGTGGAATTGAGTACATTCCATTTCGTCATTCAGTGTTGGTCCAGAATTCATCATGTTAGTTTAATTTGCTCAGTTGCTTGCATAGCTCCTACGAAATGTGGGAGGTTTGCTGAATTCGCGGCACACGGTGTTGAGAATGAGTCGCCTACTGAGATTGAGTATTCTGGTGGTGATAGCGATCAACAGCAGCTTATGGTGGATTTGGTGGTGTGTTTGGGCGGAGATGGTACGGTTTTAAGGACAATAAATTGGCTGGAGGAGGGCAGATGTAGTAGTAGGGGGGGATGAGGTTTATATGTATGTAATTGTTCTGTATATATAGTGAAGTCATAGTTATGTTATAGTTTTGTTGTGTTGTTTATATAGTGGAGTTTCGCGCGTTGTATGCGATTTCGCGTGATACGTGTGGAAATGTTCCAAAAATTTTCCGTTTATCGCACGACGTGGATATTTTCCCACGCTGGTTTCGCCCTGGTGATATAAGAAAAACATTTCAGAAATGACTTGACGGAAAACAATCGTGTTATCGGCGTTCGCGCAAACATATACGTTTTGTATTTTACATGGAGTATTTCACCACTTCACGTTAAACGGGTGAAACTCTAATATATTCATATTTTTAGTTAATATTCACTTCCTGAGTCAGTGTTGGAAAATATGCACATGGTCAACTTGGTGACACTATGTAAATTCTGAGGAAATTTCGGGAAATTCTCGCTAGTTTCTGAGCAGTTCACCGAAATTCGTATGTGAAGTCCTTAATCCAAATGGAGTTTCGCCCTAGTGATATGAAAAATACTAGTGGAAAACATATTTCACGACTACTGCATATCACCGCGAATATCGCGTTTTTCAACGAGTTTTACGCCACTTCGCGTAAAACGCGTAAAACTCCATTGTTATTTCATCGTGTTACTGCAGCTCTACCAGCAAACTCAGACGGCGATGAAGAGAGCGATACGAAGATCTCCCCAATGGACGTTGGATGTCCTCAAGGGAATAAGCCCATGACGGTCATGCCACCTCCTATAGTTGCATTCGCGTTGGGCAGTTTGGGTTTCCTTACTCCTCATCCGTTCGATAGGTAATAATCGATTAACTGGGCGCGCGCGCTTTGCAGAGAGGAGTTTTTGTGTCTGTGTGTGTGGCTAGATTCAAGACGTTATTGAATCAAGTGATTATTGCACCGGTGCAGGATTGTTTAGGAAAGGATGATAATGAAGATGTGGAAGCTGCTAAAAAGAAGGTATAAAATTTATATGGTTCAAATATTGGAGTTTCACCCTAGTGATATGGAAAACACTAATTATAGAAGTTTTTATAGGAATTCGGGAAGAAGTTTACAGAAAATTAAGTAGCATTTCGCGAAATTTCCTCGAAATTTTTCGTTCATCATACGATGTGTAGATTTTTTCCGCACTGTTATGGTGGAGTTTCAGCCGAGGTGTGAAAAACATATTGTGACAAGGCGTATGTGAGCAGTGGGTAACGCGTTAAACAAGTGTAGTTTTTTTCACACGTGATATATAGAACGCGGAAATATGTGTAATTCACTTCATATCGCGTTTTTTCGTGGGGTGTTACGTCACTTCGCGTAAAACGGGCGAAATTTTCATCGAATTTGTATATTTTCTTCAGAGAGTTTTTTGTACATTACGGTCCCGGCTGCGATGTGAAGTGATTGAATCTGAAGAAAACAACAAAGTGCTCGGCATACACAGAGTGTTGAACGAGTGTTTGATTGCAAGGTAGTGGGGGTAATTTTGTGGCGCGTGACGGAATTTTCCCTCTTCAGAACAGTGTAGGGGGAAAATATGCACGACTACATGTGTCGGTGACAAAAAAGGGAAATTTTGGGAAATCAAAGTTTGTTTTTGAACATTCCTGCCTTGTCTACAGACTTGTATAAATAATGAGGAAAATTCAGAACTCGAATGAGGAAAGCGATCATATATTCCTCCAACACTGGAGTTTCACAACCCGTTTTACGTGAAGTGGCGTAATACTCTGTGAAAAACCCGATATGCAGTAGTCGTGAAATATGTTTTTCATATCACTAGGGTGGTGAAACTGCGCTGTTTCAGAGGATGCCTGAGT